GAAGCCCATGCTTTTCATGAAACTTTTCAAAATCCAAAATGATGTGAGGTTATAGAAGCTGAATTAAGGCTCTCGAACTTAACAATACTTGGATTGTTGTACTTCTCCCTATTGGCAAAATCCCCATTGAGTATTGTTGGGCTTACAAGATTAAATACAACGTTGGCAAAATGATGTAAGGCTATAAAACCTGTTTTTTTGCTAGCGGCTATACTCCGATTGAGAGTATTGATTACAACAAAACTTTATCTCATGTTGTAAGACTAGCGACTTTTCATTGCTCACTTGCTATATATTATTGCTATTCATGTGTGGCTTTTCTTTCAAATGGATGCTAATAATGTTTTTCTCCATAAACACAGGCCCAATCCTAAGATAAAAATCTTGGATTTGGGTCTAGCCCAATCCGAGGTCAAGTTTAACTTTACCAACTTGAGCTTAACCGAATACAACTTGAGTCGGGCTTGGGTTGGGTCAGGTTGGCTTGGTTGGACCTGGGATGGTTGGTTGGGTTTGAAAGAATTTATGAATAAATCTTTGTATAACCATCTTTTAATTGGGCTATATAACCCTAGAGTAGAGTAAATGGAGTGAAATTATCTACAAAATTCATTAACAAATTTATATGTACATATTTTAGACATATATACATAGTGCGTGTGTGTATTTATATATAATTAGAAAAAGACATGTTTATATAAATAAAATGCATGTACAAAATTCAATACACATGATATGAAAACCATGGAGTAGTGAAGTCTAATGCTTGTACCATGTATATATTTTCTTAAAGTCCCATGTAAGAATGCATTATTGACATACAATTGCTTTATTTGCAAATTTTGATAAATTCCATAGATTAGCACCAACATAGGCCATGTTTGGTTCAACTCTTATTCTTCATTATTTTTTTCCAATTATAAAATTCTGGAATAGACAAAAATAGGTAAAAATAGGCAGAATGAGAAAACATCGCTATGAACCAAACGTTTTTTTTTTCCAAAAGACAAATTCTTTTTGTAGCAAGGATGAGAATAAATTTTGAACCCATTTGATTACAAGTTTCAACTTTATTCTTTCTTCTCATCAACCAAAATAATAATATATGTAGAYATAGATTAATAGATATATAGTGGAAACATGCAAGGCCCACACCAACAAAACACAAATCAACCATATGGGCCCCACATTAATAACACAATATATGAGCAACAAAAAAGGACAAGAAACTAAAAAACTTTTTGCATTTGGTTGCATAGATAAAATATAAAGAAAGTTAAAGGAAGCAATTGGCACCTATTTAAAATTAATTGTGAAAATCAGTAACCACTGTGCAAATGAAAAAAGAGCTTGGAACTTCTAAAAAGAAATGGAATTAAAAAAAAATGTATAATTAAAAATTAAATAATAATAATAATATAAAGTACAAAGTGTCTAACAATTTCATTAAATTAGTATATTCGATTAAGAAAGTCATAAAATATCATGTAATGATGTAGATGGTGATTGTATTGAAGTAGAATTTAACCACGTAATTATCACCAAATATATAGTTGGAGTAGAGATTACAAGATGGCATGTCCTCCGCTCTGCCTTTGTGTCCCCCTCGTTTACTGCAATTTAAAATTTTTCTTCTTCAATCACACCAATGGCGCCTTGAAGTGGTTTAACTTTGCGATTTGCCATAGTGGGTAAATGTGTTTATACATGGACAATGCCCCTCACTCATAGAGATCAAAGATTACTCGATTGGCCGTTTTTTTAGGTAGTTTGGTTTGTTTCAATTAAAGCATCATTATGCCATTACCTCTCTTAATACAAGGCATATAACCTTGAGCCCAATCAATCCTTCATATATGGATTATCCTTCCTCATCTGCTGATGAATTTTTATAGTGGGAACTATCTTAGGAAGATCTCCCAGGTGACTGGTAATGTTTTTAAAGTTTATTCGTTGGCATCAATGCTTATTACAATCACAGCAACTAAGGTTTGTGTGGAAGTGGACTTAAAGAACCGAGAAACCTATTAGGTTGTGGATCAGAACAGAAAAATAATGTTTTTGGCAAGAGATAATTTATGAAGACTGTACTGCATGTTTTGCAACAAAATAAGTAATGATATTTAGGCTGAGTTTGAAAGGAGTACAAATGCAAATATGTAGAGTGAAAAACCTTATATTTTGTATGTATTTGCGCTGTACACATTTGCACTTATATTCTTTCCAAATTGAGCCTTATAAGATTACTAACAGGGACCCGTGCATAAACGAAAGTTAAACAATAGAAACATATAAGAGTATACTAAGAAAGATATGACTATGATACGGGAAAGATATGATATCTGAAATTTTTTTTGACCAATCAACTGGTATCATAAATGTGGTAGCCAATCAGGAGTTATTTATCAAAATTCATGGGTGAATTTTGATTGGTCAAAACTCTACTGATACCATATCTTTCCCACATCATAGATTTTTCCTTATATTGTATATACTACTTTTAATAATCTTTTTTATAATACAAAAATAACAATAATTAATTTCAATTAGGGTTAATCACTAAATTGATGAAGCCGACCAACTCGACYCGAGTTAGTCAATTTTCTAGTATTTTCGGTCGGCTTTCATTCAACAATTTCCCACCCTAACTAGGTTAGATCAGTTTCACTTTGGCCATTTGTAAATCGATCAAACTTGATTGACCCGATAGATAGATATATATTAATATTTTATATTTTTAATATAAAATAGTGAGAAAATTCTCATATTTCTTAGTATAAAATATTTTATATCATAAAAAAATTTAAATTTATTTTTTAATAATTCCGTTATAATTCTTTTAATTTAAATTTAACTTTTTAAGTTTAAATATTTCGAACCAACCGACCAAATCGAAAGTCAACCCAACCTAACCAGGTAGATTTGAATACTCCTAATTTTATCTAAATTAATAGTCTAACCTCTAATAAATAACAATAGTTTAATCTCCAATAATTATTGAAAATTTATAGCAAAAATACACAATTATTGATAGTATATTGATAATGAAAATACAATAAATAATAATACAAATATAATAAATACTAAAAACATATTAAAGTAGTCAATAAATTTTGTATTCTCAAATAATATTTTAATCTCTAATAAATACTAATAAATTATAACAAAAATACAATAAGTACAATAAATTAAACTTCAAAAGTTAAATAAAAGTAGTTTAATCTCCAATAATTATTGAAAATATATTTATCAGAAAAAATAATAAATTATTACTTAAATACAATAAATATTAATTTTAGTATATATAAATATATATTAAGATATTAGAATTATTATTAATAAATATTAATTTTTGAAAGTTATTTTCTATAATTATTAAATGATATAAGTAAAATTAATTAGTAATATCATTATTTATTTATTTAAATAATATTATTATTTATATTTTAAAAATATTAATTATTTATTGAATTTAATAATCCATAAAATTATAATTTATGCTACTATTACATAATTTCGTTATTAACTTTGTAAAATATTAAATTATTATTAATTTGAATATTAATTTCGTTATTTTAACATTTTAAAATCTAGTTATGTCAAATATTTAGTTATTTAAATACTTAATAATATGTAAAATATTAATTTTTTTGTTATTTGAATTTTATTTATTTTATAGTTATTATGTAATATTAAATATTTTGTTATGTAATCATTTAACTAGCTATTTTTAATATTTTTTATTTAAGATATTTAGTTATTGAAATATTTATAATAATATTTTATTTTTTAATGTTAAATTTTTATTATTTGAATAACATTTAAATTGAATAATCTGGAATCCATAATTTATATTTTTGGCACATAATTTCGTGATGAATTTTGTAAAAATATTAAGTAATTAATAATATGAATATTATTAAGTCTATTATAATTATTTTATGTGATTTTAATAAATATTTTAAAAGTATCATATGATTTCTTTAGAATATTTAAATAATTTTTAAATTTTTTAATTCAAACTTTTTTTAGATAGAGATAGATAAAAAGTCATGGAGAAGATAAATAAGAATCAGAGGAAATGTAAGAGAAAAACTCTCTACTAAATTAGAGATAATTTAGGATTGATCCAAAAATGGTTCAGAATATTCATCAGATTGAATTGGACTTGATCCGTCTATAATACTCATATTGGACCGGATTGGATTGAACCAAATCCTGTCCAATTGACACCCCTTAATAGCAAGAAAGGTTTCCATCTTTAGAAGCAACAATTGCTTTTTTTAATGATTTAAAAGTGATGCATAGCAAAACGGCTAAGCCAAGGAAAACTTATAGCATAAACAGGCCTCAAAAATTCATGCGTACTCATTGTCTCAAATAAATGAATCCACCATTTCCTAGTTGCTGATTAGTCTAGAACACTTGTCCATCTCCAGAGTCCAATATAAAGATTTTTAAATACAACCAATTATACACAACCAATTATACACCGGTAGGGCGTATCAGGCAGTATCAGTAGTTTAACTTTTTTTTAATTGTTTTTCAAATCCTGTTCAAGGGGCTCCTCACACTGGATGCCTCACACCGACCTTACATGCACATCTTACCATGCATTGGAAACATATCCAGTACTTATAAGTTATTATTCAAGAGAGATGATCAAAATACTCGGTGGATGTGCATGTGAGGCAGCCATGTGAGGAGCAGATCCCATCACAGTTTAAGGTTTCTCCACTCCTTGATTTGGTCAAAACCCCGATACACTCTGGAGGGGCACATCTGAGTGCTCCTGATACGATACATATCAGCCAATATGGGCGTGTCAATTTTTTTGAACCTTGAACCCAACCGGTAAATTTGATTTTAAGTCAGAAGTAAAACTAAGTTGGTCTATAAGCAAGATCACACATCTATATTAGTGGTGCAGGATTCAGGAATTAGTACTAAAGCAAACCATGGCGGAAAAAGGACCAGATTCACCTAGTTTGATCATTAGGTATAGTAACTATAGAATCTCGTAAATTGTCATCAATTTTAAGAGTTAAGGTAACCCAAACAAAGAGACACTACAACTATCATGAGGCAAATAACAGAATATTGTCAACCTAAGAACCTAATACATGAAAGGATATATAAAGAAAAGGCGGAATCACTGTTCGAAACAAAAAGGACTATAAAATAGGGCGACAGGGAGAAGGAAAGACTCATTTTAAGGGCATTCGAAAACATGGAAATAGGACAAAATTGGCACATCACTTGAAGCATTTAGCATCCAACAGAGCTTCTCCCTCGAATGGCTCTGCATCTTCAATCATCTGATTAACACGCTCCTTTTGGGCTTCATCATTAATATCCACCTTCCTCCAGTCATACAGCTCCATGTCATAGCACTCGTCAAGTACAAACTGAGGAACATCTTGACCACGGAAGAGCCACAACCCCTTTACCTTGAAGGGTGGCCCTGATCCAATAACCAGCATCTTGCCAAAAGCGTACTTACGAGCCAAATCCATCCGCTGCAGGAACCCACTGACCTTGTTTAAGGTGACAAATGAAACAGTATTCTCGTCGTTATATTTGTAATCACAAAACCAAAGAGAATACCCCTCGGCATCATACATGTCCCAAAATCCTGCAACCAAATGGAAGTACTATCAAATAAAGGGTTGCATCACAAAGCAAAAGTCAGAAGTGAAAAAATAATCAAACAAGATCTCAAACATATACAGTGAACATGAAACTTTTATTCATTATCATCTAGTGAATAAATACGCATGAAATGATTTAAGGACCCATAATTCAATAATGGTCATGACACTGAACAGTAGAATGGTAGAAACAGGACTCGTGTAGCTGACCCCATATTAGTTAGATCAAGACTTAGTTGGGTTGAGTAAATACATGCACATGCCATGGAAAATCACTGGTGAAAATTCCGAAAAGATTACATAAAGAGAACTTATTGGCATCAATATCAAAGTTCCCAAGTCAAGCCGAGCTCATGAATTGTTTTTTATGGGTTTGGAAATACATCTTAAGAACAGAGATTCAATTCTGAAAGGTTCTAAGTAACTAAGGGGAGTCGCCAAGTTGTTCACTCAATGAGGGTTGATATTGGGAAGGGAAAGCCATGATAGAACCAGTCAACTAAAAGTTGACCTATGAATTTATCAAAAACATATAATCTATAATATGGTGAAGTCTTGGAATTAGGTAATTTAATTGTTGGAAACATGGCTGACAAGGATGCAAGGAAAAAGTAGACAACTTGGTTCTTGCCCTAAGCACCTAAGAGTCTGTTAGCAATGGTCGCTTAACAAGATTTGTAATTTTTTGTCTATGTATCATGTTAAAATGTGCTACACATTCATTTTGCATTATTTTGTAATTTGCAGTAAAAACACTAAAATAAATCCAAGAAGAATAATGAAATTTGCATATACAAATAAAATCATTCATTTTACAAAGCAATAATGTAGAAAGGCATCTCTAAAATCATGAAATTTGATATAAACAGAATATAAACAAACAAGGAAAGAAACAACTAAAATGGAATGGTTAATCCAAGTATTACAAAACAATGAATCCATGCAAATAAACAAACAGCTCCTTGAATCCAATCAATGAAGCATTGCAGCCAAAGTTCAAAATATCGATAAACCCGACACGCCGATAGGGGCGTATCAGGCGATATCGATGCTGTTTTTTTACTTTTCTTATTTTATTTTCAAAACCGGTTCAGGGGGGGCCGGTTTAAGGCTCCTCCACCCCCTGAACCGGTCAGAACCCTGATACACCCACTGTAGGGGCATATTGGGGAGGTCCCGGAACAATACGTATCGGCCGATACGTGTTGATACTTTGAACCTTGATTGCAGCAATAACACATTAAATACAATCAGAACTCCCGCCAAAAAAAGGCCCTGTGCTTACCAAGGCTTCACCTTCTCAACTATGGTGGAAAACAATTTTTTCCATGCTTCATGGGGCTAAACAATGGAGAGTAGCCCATAGCTCAAGAACCATAACCCCCTTCAATGAACCATAATCCCTCAACCCTAATGAATGTGGGCTTTGTTCCCAAATATACACTGCAGCCAGCATGAGACCTTGCCAACTGAGCCAGTTTTTGACCTCAAGAACATCGGCACCCCCAAGAAGATATATAATAAAGAAATTCAAGCCAGAATTTGGTTTACTGCAGATATGCTTTGATATCTGCACCAACTTTGCTCAGAAAGCAAAGATAATAGATGTATAGAATGGGGAATGGCCAATTGAAAGTTGGCTGAGACCCAATTTTTTTTGATAAATACTGAGACCCAAATATTTGATTCGGAGAATTGTGTTTCCTATTTAGTTTATTTGGATAAATGGAAAAGATGCAGTACAAAACTATAATGATGCCTAAGGAGCAGGCTAGAAGAAATAGCAAATCAAAGAAAAGACCTAAAACTAAAGAAGCTTGAGAACTGGTCATCACATTATAGTTTTTTTTTTGATGAATGTCATCACATTATAGTTGGTGAAAATTAATGCAGCTGTAAAAGATAAATCTGCAGGCATTGTGATTGAAGGAAGATATGAACCTGGAAAATCTAAGGGTGAGCAAATGGGTAGGTTCTACCTGGAGCTGAATGGAACTGACCTCAAACCACCCAACCTGATATGTTATCATACACAATCACTCATGGTCAAAATGACCATTGTCTCAGTTGACCATAGAGTCACTTGAGTGATTTGATCATTTTCCTTCAATATAATATTTGAATGTGTATAATAAGTAATGTAATAGGTAATATTTAAAAAATTTAAATTGTAATGATATGTTTTGAACTATATATTAATTTATTATGATAATGTACAGATTAAATTACTCAACTTAATCAATTTAACCAATAAAGATAATATAAGTTTTGAACTATATTTTTTCCGAGGAAGTAAAGAAAGAACAGATTCCATGGGTAGACCAACCCTGGATCTAATCCTAGAACCACCAAGGCCAGAACCAAGAATAGAAACAATTTCTACATGATAGGTTCCAGTTACAAAAACCAGGAACAAGCTCCTATAGGGTAGGTTACAGGTTCCGCCTTGGAACAAAACTGAACCAACCCATGCTCGCCCCTAGGAAAAACTATCAAGTGAAAGAAAGAATTGGAAGGAATAAAAGTTCCAAATTAAAGTGAAATTGTCCCTAATAATAATACAACAATGTGAATAAAAGTTTCAAATTAAAGCAGGAAAATTAAAAAAATAAATAACAATTTTACACATGACAAGAATGTTCTCAAAAATTTACTAGATCAACCCATCAAAAGAGCAATTTATCACTGATATTACCAAGGTATGCATGTAAACAAACAAAAAATTTAACAAAAGTGCACAAAATGAAGCATCCTTGAACTCTACCCAACAAATTAATCTTAATTCTATAAGACTTTAGAAAACAATTTGATTTGATTTGAGTTTTTTTATGAACTTTGTCCCTGAAAACAAAGCTTTTTTGAAAAAAAAATGAGAGAAAAATAATGCCTTAAATATCATATATTTACAATAGGCATGTCTTAGTCAAGTGTCAAGATGTTACTAAAAATATTGGTTGGCCTTCATTTAATGTCAACCACTTCTAATCTGTTGCATCCAAAAACGTGTTGGTACCTATTTAAAAAATGGCATGTACAGTGAAAACTTTCTAGCCATGCCACATAACAGCTTTAGTGCCATCAACTTATGAGTATTCTCCGCTTCAAGTACATGGTAAGCACATGATGCTAACAAAAAGCAGAGCAACTCAAATATTGGAGTGTAATGGCAGAAACATTAATACACAAGATTATGCCTGATTATCTTTGCTCTCGGTACAAGGTATAAAAGAGGAAATAATTCTTGGATGTATTGCTAATGATAAGACACAGTACCTTTAATGGCAACCTCACGAAAATTGGTTTTGGTGTTTGAGTAGAGTCTCTTCCACTCGTCCAATATCATCTTACTAGGGGGAAGAAGATCAAGTGGATTCTTTGGTTTGGGTTTTGGTGCCTCTTCCTCCTCAACAGGCTCTTCCACTTTAGGCTTTGCAGGTTCTTTCTTGACCTCTTTCTTTGGTTCATCCTTTACCTTATTCTTTGCAGTCTCTTTAAGCTGAGATGGCTTCTTTGTTGACTGAACAGGTGGAATAGACTCAGCCTGTTTCACTTCCCCAATTATCTTGCGGAAGTTTGGCTGATTAACCATGGTCCAGAAATACCTCTCAACGTGAGGAAACTCAGAGGTAAAGCTTTTAGTCAGGATACGACTGAATCCCAAAAACAAGTTACATGTCATGATAATGTCAGCTAGTGTAATAGAGTGCCCCACGAGGTAAGTATTTGAAGCAAGGTGTTTGTTCAAAGCATCTAGGGCTCTCTTCAAGGCAGAAATGGAAGCTTCCTCGGCCTTTATGCAACCAAAAAAAAGTTACATTACAAATAACCAATTAATGTTTTATAGATATAATAAAAAGCGCATCATAATACATGTACATATTATTATGCAAATGAAAGAAAAACTTATAAAGAAAAAAAAAATGTTGTGTAGCCAACCGGAGGAAGGTATGGTTGCCCAAACCCCAATCGAGGATACAACCACCTTGAAATATTGGTATCAACCTCTAATGATGCAAAGTCAATCCACTGCTCAACACGAGCCTGGGAAAAGCAAACACACAATCAATAGAAGGTAATGAAACATCACCACCACCACAAACCCAGGTAATAGAATAACAAAATGAGCATGTAACCCATGGAAGGAGCACACCATAAATGCTTACTAAAGAAAATGACAACAAGAACCCCAAATCTTACATATTCAATCAGAGAAGAACCATAGAGAATAGCGTCACCCTTCAAACGTGCAACTGCATCAAGTAAATAATATCAATTAGACTACTACATACTACATTTCAGTCCAACCATGAACCATCAGGGATTAAAGCACAAATCATGAAATATTTCCTCACCATAACGTGCAATAGCATTGCTCTCAAATACAGGGCCATCAGGTGTCTCCAATACAGGAACCTGCACAAGCAAAAGACCATTTTTATTTTCAAGCCACAAGTTACCAGGTTCCAACTTCCAACCAAACAACAAATAACCACTGCCTATAAGAGCTTACTTTCCCAATAGGGTTCATCTTAATAAACTCGGGAGTTTTATTTGAGACACCCATCTCAAAGTTTGGGACCAATTCCACTTTAACCCCACTGTACTCTGCAGCAATGAGTGCCTTGAAGGCATTCTTGTTTACATTTGACGCATGCAAGACCTGCAAAAACACATCAAATACATAAACCACTTAGATTACCRACTTCATTCTTAACATCATATCTAAAGAACAGTTTTTTTATTTGATAACTGTAATTTTGAGGATAATAGACCTGTTAATTATAGGAAGGAAAAAACAATAACTAATGACTATGTTGCTCTATGTTCTGCAGAATTGTAACCAACAGGATTGACAGTTCCGCATACGATGTTGAATCTAACAAAGTTAAATGTGAAATAATAGAAGTCAATCAGATTGGAAGAACTAACCAGAGACATGGCTTGATTGAAGCAAGACGATTCTTCAATACCCAATCTGATTAAAACAAGAGAAATTGAAGATTATTCAGTTAGAAACTTACACTAAACCCATATATATCTACAGAAAACATGAAAGGAAAAAAGAAAGGAAAAACATATAAAACAATTGCGCTAAATTGCTAGTACTTTAAGAGACATTGTCATATTAAGGTTGGTAAACGGTGGAAAGTTATGCCTTTTTTATTTGAAAGAGAGGCTTTTGTAAATCTGTCAATGGGTTAGACCTGGATAAAATTGGGATTGATTCAAGTCCCATTGATTAGTCAAACTCCCAAATCTAAAAAAAAATCAAATTAGAGTCAACGAACAATCCAATTCACTTGGGAGAATTAGAAAAAACATGCTTAAAAAATGAGGGTGGTTGTCAAACAGGACAAATCAAATTAGAATAGAGGTAGAGATGCACCCACATTCAATTCATTAAGAAATCTAAAGTACGAAATTTTGCTTCAACAGAGTAGATATCATGATAAATATATTTAAATTCAACTCAAATAAACATCTTTGATCTAAGCTGGAATTTAGAAAGTTCACATAAACAGACAAAATAGTTAAACCTAAAGCATGTAAATGGTAGCTATATACTAATAGAGTAGGAAAAGAAACCAAATATATCTAACTAATAGAGTTAAAGACTAATTACAAGCAGGAAAGAAAATTAAAGATGTAGCTTGAAGAGAAATAAAACCTCTATGCAAACTCTTAAAATAATAAACAGAAACTACAGTAGATATAAAAATTAACATTTGAATAATCAATAATATATATATATATATGGAACGCTCTAAATCAACATATTGAATGATAACCTGAATTTCAGAAGGAAACGTAGTAGTAGTTTGTCATGAGTTCTCAGGCTGATTGTTACATGACTTTCTCGACAGAAACAGATTTACACGTTTGTCAATTCACACGGAAAAAAAAAAACAAAAAATGAAAAAGATTATGTCCATCGGTGGCATCCGAAGTTACAGCAAGTTGCTCCTCTCCACCAACTCGAAGATAACACACCACCAACTACACTGCCCGCACGATCAAAATCTCCTAAAAGGGTTTTGTGTTTTTGTATGACTAGTTACAATGGAATAGTAAGAAACTTAAAAAACGCCAATGCCAGGTGTCCATATAATAATTTAACGATGACTTATATCTCGAATTTATTTCTGGAATGATGTAGTACCAGTAAGAACGAAACAATATCTTCTGTAAATCTCATGCTGTTGATTTAATAGTAATGTAACCAATCAACCTAGTAATTTTTAACTAATTCAGGCATTTAGTTGAGAAACCATACTTTTATGTTCGAGCTTGCAGAGCAGACCTTATTCGGTGAAAACTCGAAATCTCTGACTTCAAAATTCGCCCCTTTCCTGATGTCCTTCGCTGCAAACAATTCAATCAAATACTTTAACTGCACAAAGTATAAAAAAAAGGCTTTTGAAATGAAAATGAAATTAAAATTAAGAAAACTAACAAAAAAAGAACACTCAATGAATTGAAAAAACACAATCCAACTTATAACTAGAAGTTGATCAGAAAAAGCTAGGAAGTATGAAGATCAAGCAGCGCCCTTCAAAGCCTTAAACATTGTAAAAGAAAGAAGGACAAAGAACAGAAGATGAGCCAATTACATTCAGAGTCCACAAATCTGCCGAGGTGGAGCTTCAATGCAACCTATCAGAGAAATCGAGGAAGAAGACTGGTAACCGATTTCCTTGATCTCTGAGACTCGAACAAGGAAACCCTTCTCGTCGATCTGTCGCCGCTACGGAACTCCACACTAGACGAAGTACTAAAAAATGAAAAGACGAAGAGCTAGGGTTTCGACCTTTGTCTAATTAAGTTATAAAATTACGAAATGAGTCTTAGAAGTTTAGGTAAAGCAGCGTTAATAGAAGGGCAGAGTAGTAATTTTATTTCCAAAAAAAATGTGGGAGTGGGCTGGCGATGAAAAACGACCCAAGAATATTCCTAGTGGGCAAAATAGTCAGTAGAGATCGGTAAAGGAGTCCACCGATTCTTTTGCCCATCATATAGATTCATGGAAATTCTTTGGTTGCAAAACGAATGGCGTCACGTCAGGAAAGTGTCCACGCTCAACGGTTGTAGAGGCCAGTTCGGAATTCGGGTCGTCAATGTTTCATTATCTTACCATTTATTAAGACTAGGCTGCCGATTAGGGGTGTTAACCGTATTCGAAAATTTGATTGGGAATTCGATATTTTCGATATAATCGAATAAATTCGGATACTTCGAATATTTAATCGGTTAAATTTAGATTCGAATTTGGATATGATGTGATTTGATTTAATAAATATTCGAATTCAATTGAATTTGAATTTGGATATTAATTTTTAATATTTGTCAGATAGAAATCAGATATTGAAATTTTTAATCGGATTTGAATTCAGATATTATCTAATCCGATTTRAATTCGATCCATTTATACCTCTACTGTCAATGAATAGATCGAATATGGATGGGATAACATTGGAATCCGATTCACAAGTCCAAGATATTCAATTCCATTCGATTCGATATCCATTGGAATCGATTTGGTTACGTAGGATATTTGATCCGAGCCCAATTTTATATAGGCTGCGCTTGTAAATCATATTTGCACTTTGCACTAACGCAAATGCATGAGAGTGCAAATCTAAATCGTCTAAATTTGGTTTAGTTTTGCATTGGCATTTACAGTGGTACAATTAATAAAATAATTTTGCATTTATTTGTTTGAATCGTAAAAAACAAGTGTAATATCACATATGTGGGCCCCACTTAATATATTTTATATGTGGCCCAACTTATAACACAAATTTATTTTCACAAAAATCGGTCTTRMAATCTTTAACTTTGTCCCTATTAAGACAATATCACATATGCATATGTACCATGATTAGAAAACCTACATATGCATCAAAGCATGGAGTCATGATAACATTTCAATGTGGAACCCACCTATACATCCGAAGAACTTATAGACAACATGGTGAAATGCAAAACTACCGAATTGGGGGACAACGATGATCCCCTCCATATCTATTGACTTCAGACAAAAATTAAAGAATCAAATGTCTTCTACTGGCAACTCACAATTAGTAATATAAAATGCAATAATTCAAAAAGAAAAAAAAAAAAAAACAACCATTTCAACCCATGGTTTTTAAAAACGAACTAGTGACCGAATCGGCCAAGGGTTCGGTTACCGGTTCGAACTGACAAAAAAAATAAAAATATTATAAAAAAATTAAAAAATTGGAAACAGTGAAAACCGTTCAAACGGTTTAAATGGTTTGAACAATTAACCGGCCGGTTCAACGGTTTACTGAGCAAAATCAACAGTTTTGGGGGAAAAAATGATTTTGGAGGAAAATGGAACCGGTTCCCATTTTTTCCGGTCTGACCATCCAGTCCAATCCGGTTTTGAAAACAGTGTTTCAACCATCTAATTGTGGTTCCAAGATTTTATCGTATATATTGATGGGCATGAGCATGTATGATCTTCTTTTTTCTATTCTCATATTAACTGTTAATTGAGAGCAAAGGACATGGAGCAAACCTAACTAATATTATGGTTGAATAGGAGTAATGATCAAATACTCATAAGTTTTCATGTGAATTACAACAACAAAATAAAACAAAATGAAATGAAAAAGACTAGTATTCAAAAACAAATGGAAACTAGCAAACTAGATAATCAATGAGCTAAGGGCCTTGTATAGGGAAATAGAAGTCAACTTCTCATTACACAGATCAGCAAACAATTTGAGTAGATGCACTATCTAAACAAGGGCTAAACTTGGAGAAACTAAGCATCTTTTAGGTAATGTGGCACAGATTAAATAGGAACACTCGAGAAACATGAAATGGAAAATAAACCTGGAGAAACTAAGCATCACATATATATATATATAGTGTGTGTGTGATGATATTCTAATTCAATAAATGTCCAAACTAGCTACCTAAACTAATTAATTAAAGAAACAATCATACAACTTCAAAAGACGATAGAAAAGATCGAAGTTGATGTGGTAATAATTAGGAAAACTAGTTAAGGTGACCTTTAGCTAGGTCAACTCCCATGGATTTTGTGGCTTATTAAGATATTAAGAGGAGGGTGAGTTTACCCACCATGAAGGAATAATTAAGCAACCATCTTATGTGTGGCTTCTATGAGGTGGACACCATCCTAGTTGATGAATTGGGTAGGGTTTGGACAAGCTTTCAATGCAGCTAGTGAGTCACATGTAGCAAACGGATCTAAGTTGTAGGGGTTGTTGGATTTTAATCTCATAAGAGATTAAATCCAATAGGTTTGATTGGTCAATTACATGAGAAATTGCACCTACACACTTGATTGAAAAATTAGTTTTTCTCTTGCAAAATCCAATTTTGAACTTGTCCCACATTGAAAAATTATAAGTTTTGTTTTTAATATTTCAATAGGAGCTGATTTACACTCCTTAGAAATAGTAGAGGAGAGTATGAGGGTTTGATACCACGCAACGCGCATACGCACGTGTTTGCAGCGCAATGAGGCGCACTTTGCTCRCACTTAGATTTGATCGGGTGACTATTGATCACCGTTGATCATCGTTGATGAGATCAATGGTCACGATTTGATTGGGTGTGATCAAGAGGCACAATTCAAAGTTAACCGTCATTAACTGTTAACTACTTTTTAAACCAGCACCTACCTTTTCCTCATACCTCTTCATAAACTATTTAAGGAGCATGAATTAGACTCAAAAAACACACAATTTTGAAATTCTCTCTCTCTCTCTCTCTCAGTCCGGTCTGCTATAGTCTCACAGAAGGTTTCTTTAGAGACTCTTCAACTTTGCTGGTTGTAGATTCTCGCCTAAGGCTTTGTTGTATCATAGGAACGAATTTTCTTGTAACCCAACAGCAAACTCAGTGAAACTGAGTGGGGGCAAATAACGTTCTAAAGACAGTGTCTTCAGACACGCCTCAGAGCTTCTCCTCCACAGTTATAGTGACCCCATTCTTCCAACAGGGGTCACCACCCGAACCACAACAGGTCTTGAACTTTTCCTTGAACCCATACTTGAAAGGGTTCTTCATGACTGTATTGTAAGCATTGAAGTAAAGCTACTTAGGACAACAATTCTAGTTGGTGTTACAGTTTGAATGGTTAATCCAATAATTAAGATTCTGCTAAGATAGTAGCTTCATGGATGTACTGTAGCCAAACAATCCAATGTTGTTCACATTGGGAATCTTGAAATAATTAAGATTCTACTAGGAGGAAATATAAACAACCTAGATGCTAGGGGTGGATGCCAAAGGTTACTGCAAAGCAACAAGGATAAAAAAAACATTTACCATGTTACGAGAACAAGAGTAGAAATTTAGAACATAAAACAAAATTCATTAAAAAAAAGACAATCAAACACATTGAGAATAGTCAAAGAAAAGATGGGATAACATAGCCTTGGCCCTTCCCTCCCTCCATTTTCTCTTCTCCACCATAAGACCAAAAAAAAAATCTATACTATATATAAAAGTGGGAATGCAATGTGAAACTTTTTTTGGATAAAAAATACCCTTTACTTATTTGTTTGATGAAGGGTACAAAGTCATTTTATTACAACTTTAATGGCTACTAAAATACTCATAATTATGTATTTAGTCAATATCTAATGGTAAGGGTTGAAAATGCAACTTCCTTTTTTTTTGATAAATCCAAAGGGAGCTACACAAGATGAGGGGTAGAACGTGAAGGGATGAGAGGTCCATCATATGGATGGTCGAACCCTGCAGGAAGGTTGGGCGGAATTTCAAAAATTTCTCTCTCCCATTTGGGAATCACATTCCCTGTTTTAGAAAACTGCATTTTCAAGGATCAATCTTGAAACAAACCAGACCAGATCTGAAACCAAAAGGGAGGAGAATGATATACCTGATATGGAGTAACAATAACTCCCAACGAAGGTGTTCACGCCCAAGGAGAGAACCAAAGACTGCTTCCACCGAATATGACACGGTGTGAGGTGAAGTAGAATCAGATATAAAATGGGTTATTTGAAGCAAATTAAAATCTTGTTTAGTAATTAAAAATAATTACAAGTTATTTTGAACGAATTTCAGGTTATTTGGGCAAGTGTGAAACAAAATAATAGTTTTAGCGGCAGCCAATGCATCTCTATAGCGGCAGTTTTGAAGCTTTACCAGCAGTCAGGAAAACTACTGCTAGAACTTTTAGTGACAATTGTTTTAGCGGCAATTTGCCAACCACTGGTAAAACCTTTAGCGGCAATTTTTAAGACATTTAGCGGCAGTCAAAACTGCTGCAAAAAGTCAATTTTCTTGTAGTGTGATCTAATTGCATGACCATAAACTTAATGTTTGAAAATCTAATTGCAAGCCTTTCCTCCCATGATTCCCTACCATTCCCTTCTTCATCATAACTACTCAGTATCCTAGAGACCATCATCCTTTTCCTCTTGATTGTAATGATAATACCAATCAAAATACATAAATAAGCATTACTGCATCATCATTTCATAATGAATAGAAATAGCAATTGCAGCCAACTTTTTCTTTTGATTCCTATTTAGTGGTGATTGAGGCATGTCTCTGCAAAATATAGTGATGACCAAGGCATGTTTTTCAAATTAGACATGCAAGAAATTATTAGAATAAAAACAACTTAAGATGGAAAGAAATTCAAGTTACATAAGGCTTAGTTTAATGCAGAAAAAACTTTTATTGTCTTAGACAGTCTTGATATTATTTTCCTAAGTATCAAGTAATCCATGTGTAGCAAATCATAGTGATTAGGTCATCTCCCTG